GAACATTTCTTTGCAAGTGAACCACCAAGGGTATGGAGGAAACCAAGCCAGAGCCAGTTCTGAGGTAGGTAATCTAGGAAATTTAGGTGGATGCATTTCGAATGCCAACCTATACCTATCCTCAGGTGACAACCCTGAAGGAAGTTTTAACTTAGAAACTTTTTCTTTGAATTTTTCCTTCAGGATCTCAGCTGCTTCATGCACAGTGGATTCCAATTGTGTGGGATCATAAGTAGTTTCGAAATAATTTTGAAAAGCTTTAGTCTCTTTGGCATGAGTGAACATACCTTTCTTGCATGGTACCTGCACATCGAATGCATCAATTAGTTTCTGCTGAATAGTAAGAGTATCGAACATATAAGTCTGATAGAACTTTGTCCACCATTCTAGAAACCCCTTTGCTGTAAGGTGTGTAGGTTCGAAAGTTATTAGTTCAAACTGGGCGAAGCCTTGGTATTGTTCCTGCTGTAGTTTGGCTTCTCGTGCCTTGAAGGTTCGCCCAGAAGTGATGGCACTTTCCGTTTGAAATAGGGGTTCAGGAATTAGTTGGCACAAGCCAAACTGTCTTGAAACGAAGTTGGGCTGATAAGCGAAAAGGAAAATCTGATTCTTAGTAGGAGTTATTCTTGAAGAGATTAGTCTGGGTAGCAAAAAGGCTCTCCATACATCTTGAATCTCTTTGCTTTTGACAACTTCTGAGAGAGCCATGGTGAACCATGAAGGTCCATGAGCCCTTGAAGCAAAAGGCTCCATGGTCTCTTCGAACTTATGCCTCTTGGAGAAAATCATGATATATTTTGAGAAGAGAACTTTGAAATCATCCTTAGCGTCGTTGGGGGTTAGTCTTCGCAGCCTAGTGCCTTCGATGATTCTATCCACTATTTCTGGGTCTTGTTCAGCAATAGTGTTGGCAGTTGATAATGAAGGTTCGAACATGGCATTTAGCCATAACTGAAGTAACCAGAAAGGGCCAGCTAGCAGGATATTCTTGGAGGTGTGAGACTTTAGACTCGAAACAGCTGACCTTAGGCTTTCATAAAGATCAACTAATAGCAGTTCGCTTAAGCACACCCTCCGATTCTCATGCAAATCTCTAGCTAGAGGAATAAACCTACTGGCTACCTGTAGGGATCTGCTGCAAAAGACATACCTTGACAGCCATAAGGTAAGGAAAGCAATGTGTTCTACACCCGACACACTGTCTCCTTCAGTGTGATAGTGGCTGATAAACTTTGAAAAGCTTGCTAGCTTGACTTCGAAGTCGATAATACTCGAATGCTCTTCATTGTCAGGGATATATGTTTCTCCTATTGGTGATAGCCCAGTAATGGCCGCTATGTCAAAAAAGGTAGGGGTAATCATTCCACCGGGGAGATGGAAAGTATTATAAGTGTTGTCCCAGAAATATAGGGACGCGAATAACAATGGGTGGTTATAAGTAAAACCTGGCTTCGACAGCTTAATCAAGTTGTAGATACCTAATTCTTCCCATTGCTGGGATTTCTTAGCTTCTACCTTATTAAACCAGTTATGATAAGCAGTGTCGGAGGTGGGGCAAGATCGAAACGGTTTGAAGTTACTCTTTACATAATCTAGTACGAAAGGGTCCTTAGGAGGAACGATTGGATTTTCTACGGTGGTTGAATCAGAAGACTCTATTGTCTTAGGGGCGTCCATTTTATTAAACAGAGGTTTGAAATTATAGCAAACTGGGAAAATTTTTCTGGTGTCTTTTAAAATTTCAAAAACTGTAAGAGGGCCCATTAAAGCTAACCTCTTGCCAGCAGCATTAGTAGGAATTAGTACCTGGGATGCATAAAGCATTTCTTTCTCTTTTGAGATCATTTGGGGAACAAGAACAGATTGACCTTGGTAGGTGCCAACCTTGCTTTCCATTGTGGTTCCTGCGGTCTTTCCTTTCTTTTTAGAAGCCTTTTTTATTTGAGATGAAGTTGAAGAAGACATTGTTGGAAGAATGTTGAAAGTTTAGGGTTTCGGTGAGAAAAGAAGGAGAAAAGATTCAGAATGTGGGAAGAAAAGAAAAGACTAAGTTGATGGGTTTTTTATAATGTGGAAGTTTAAGCATCCACTGAGTAAGGTTGTGATACATGGTAATCGTGGGTTGGTTTGATGAAGAGGTGGCGTAAAGTTAACATTGGTAATAGGCGTGATTAAAGATAATCATTGTTTTGTAACTGCACCATACTGTGAAATGGTTCAAGGCGGTTAAGGGATCTGAAAAGCGTTATGATTGACGTGACTGGAGTCATATGCAATAAATGTTACGATGATTCGAAGGTCGCATCAAAATCTTGTGTATATGTTTAAAATAAGTATTTCTCAAAGGAATCGAAATACATATTTTAAAGGGGAATTTTGTTGGCTGAAGATTTTGATGATATTATTAGAAGTAAACAAATTAGACGTTTCGATTGAAATGAAACAAAACGTCATGTTTCGAAATGGTAGAAGCAGTTCTTCGAATGGGCATATCAAAGCTTGGAGCTTCGAGTGACAGTTATGAGAATATATCCAAAGAAGTCTCGAAATGATAACAAGGCTGTGTCTAAGAAATGCGTTCGAAGCGAAGAAGTGCCAAAACATTTGAAATTCAAATGCAAGCGGGATGTTCGAAATTTGAAATATATGCGCTGGAGCATTCGAAGACGCGTGGAAGCAAGAGAGAGGCATTGCTCTGCATGTTCTGAACGTGGCAGAATCTTATAGCAAGACCGTTATGGTCGAAGTAGTATAAATAGAAGTCTTAGCATTAGGATTTCGTGTGTCATATCTATTGTACAAAAAACTCAGTAAACATTCAAATTACCACATGGCTAGGGAAACGAATGCACGAGCAATGTACGTATGATAACACCACATGTTTATGATTTAATGAAAACTCTTTATCATTTCCAGTACTTTCCTTTATCTTCATGTCAATACCATTTACAAGCTTTAGCATTTAAAATGTTTTCATTTGAAGTCTTTTTACTAATGCCTTACCTTTAAATGCTTTCTTCTCACTTCAAATACTTTACATTTCAGAAACTGTTATACATTTCATGCCTTTATCTTCAAATTTTTATCATTCGAACACCTTTTTTACTTAAAGCCATTTTACAGTTTTCTTGCATTTAAACGCTTTCTTCATATTTCGAATCTTTTACATTCCAGAGAATCTTTTACATTAACTGCTTTTATACTTCGAAGTCATTTACTTGTCTTTTATGCAGTTTTTACATGTCTTTACAATTGACCTTTATTCATGCAATTTAGTTTCGCGCACATTTACTTGATCACACCTTTAGATTTTTCGAAGTAAGTTAAACACCTACACAACATTCTAAATACCAACCATGAATACCAGTTCGATCATGAGAGTTACCCTAATGACCAACACGTCCTAGGATCAATCTAGTCGATCCTGCGAGTTACCAGAGAAATTGAATAACAGTCAGTAAATTTATTCGATAGTTTGGAGGACTAGCGGTTGTTTACCAGAAATCACTGGAAACAGTATGCCATGCTTATCATGTGTTAAAAGATGGTGGTCTTAGAGATGAAAACATCATTGTAATGATGTATGACGATATCGCCTCCAATGAAGAAAACCCACGTAAAGGGTCTATATATAATAGACCAAATGGCTCAAATATTTATGATGGTGTTCCCAAGGTATATTCATACTTTATATTAGTGACTCAATGAATCAGAAATATAAAATATTTATTTATCTCTTTCTAACCAAAAACATCACTTACTTCTTTCAAATCTTTATTTGATTTTTTTAGGATTATACTGGTGAGGCTGTAATGTGGTAAATATTTAAGAAATACTTAGGGGAAGTGGTGGACACGAACTCGGAGGGAGTGGTAAAGTGCTCAGTACTGGACCAGATGATACCATCTTCATATACATATCTGGCAACAGTGCTTATCGCCGTATAGGTTAGTAACATTACTTTTTACAATTTGTATATGATTTTAAAATTTAAATATGTTTTTGGTAGTTGGGAGAATATTTGATTGCTTAATACTTGTAACATCAGATATATAAGTTATATACTTTTTATAACATTTAATTTGTTTATTTTATTATGTTATAATGTACCGTATCTCTAAAGAATTTTTTTGTTATTTGAACAGTCATGCCAACGACCGATTTAAGGGTAGAGGATTTTGTAAAACATGAATCTAATTCCTATAAAAAATGGTAAGTTTTCTTGAGTAATTTGTTATAATTACTAATTATTTTATCAATGCATTTAATGTTGTTTTTTTTTATTCGATAAAAAAAAAGGTGATTTACATAGATGCAAATGAAGTTGGGAGCATGTTTGAAGGACATCTTCCAAATGATGTTTAAGCTAATACAAATACTAGTTATTAAGTATTTTTGTCTTTTTTATGTATGGATGAGCAGTGACATAAGTGATAGGTCTAGCAAAACTCTGCAACAACAATACTCTTTTGTAAGTCATTCTATTAACTTTATGGTGATATGACCATGCAGCAAGAACCTCTAGTTATATATATGGGTGCTCTTGCTGCTCCCAAAAAAAAAACTATTGATAACAGAAGTTTTAATACTACATACAAAACATTAACCGAAGATTATGTCTATTTCCGTTATTTGAAACTTAAGGTATTATTGTAGAGAATTTAATATCATTGTAGAGCTTTTGTACGTATTTGAGTGATATATTTAATATTCTGATTCTATTTATTTCATTGCTAATTTATTATATTATTAATGAAGACATTTTTTTATGAATCGTTTTAGGTGGAAAGAGCGCCACATGGTTTAGAAGATCAGCACAATGCCCAAAAAGCTTTAGAGGTGGAAATTGCTCACAAAAAAAGAGATGACCGCAATGTATTTCTCATATTTCCTAGTTATTTGTTGGATAAAACCCTATTGTTATCCTATAAGTTCTCTTTCACTACCTCACACAAATTAGGGTTTAGCAGAGAGAGTAAGAGAGAGAAGAAGCAGCAACCATGGAAAAGCTCGAACAAGTTCAATGCTTCGGCCGCAAGAAGAACGCCGTCGCCGTCACCTACTGCAAGCGCGGTCGTGGCCTAATCAAGATCAACGGCGCCCCAATCGAGTTGGTCCAGCCAGAGATCCTCCGCTTCAAGGCCTTTGAACCGATCCTGTTGTTGGGAAAGAGCCGATTCGCTGGAGTGGACATGCGCATCCGTGTCAAGGGCGGTGGTCACACCTCTCAGATTTACGCCATCAGGCAGAGCATTGCTAAGGCGCTGGTGGCTTTCTACCAGAAGTACGTGGATGAACAGAGCAAGAAGGAGATCAAGGATATTTTGATCCGTTATGATAGGACTTTGCTTGTGGCTGATCCTAGGCGTTGTGAGCCGAAGAAGTTTGGTGGGCGTGGTGCTCGTGCGAGGTTCCAGAAGTCTTACCGTTAGATTGGTTATTTGGGAGGAGAAAGAAAGAGGTGTTTTTAGTTATTTTATATTTCAGTTTTCGGTTCATGTTTTATGCTGTGGAAAAACTTTTGTTTTTATTGTTTTAACATTATGGTTTGAATTGTTATTTTAGGGTTTTGTATGGGATGATAAGGATCACATAAGTCTATGTTATTTGATTTTGAACCTCTTATTATGTCTTATGTTTAGTATTTCCTTGTGTTTTGTTGATTCTGATTATATGTTTTAATTTGTGATGATTCTGAGATGTTTTTAAGAGATGTGAATTAGTCGTTTCATAATAAGCTCTTAGTGATGTTTCTTGTAGCCTTTGTTTAACTTTCAATCTCTTTGTCGGTGTTATTCGGTACACTATGTAGTTGTGGTGCACAGATTATCAAATAAGTTAAAATAATTTTGTAATGTTGAGTGTTGTTTTGTAACCATCTTAAAAATTTGAAACATGGCTATGAGTTTAGAATCAAGCCGTGTTAGTTTTCAGAAATTTGGGTCAAATTTAAGCTGGTTTATTATGCTGCAAAGAAGGGTTTCAGTAACCTTTCGCCAATTTCAAATGGCTTGAATTCTACTTTTTCTTCATAATTTATGGTTCAAAATTTTAACACTATAAGGAAATCTTTCACTTTAAACATTTTCAAGTTATTTACTAGATACACATTTTTCTAATAAGTTCTATAAATATCCCCTGGCTATTGCTCATTGCTTAATGTCTTTGTTATTGAAGTATTAAAACAACAAAATAATTGTCACATAAATGTCATTGTATGGTGCACCATGCTTTTTTCTTTGCAGAAGCTCAACCAAAAACACACTTAATGTTTGTTTGATTCTGCATCTGCTCCACTTTTCTTGCGTTCCGATGCTTTCTTAATGTGCTCTATGATGCACAGACACCCGGGCTTAATAATTTGAAAAAATGATAAAATTATATGTAATCACCCGGGTGACTTCCCTTCTTCTCCTGGCTTAACTACCGGTAATGCCACTGCCACTATGAAAGATGCAAGAACCAACTCTAGTGAACCCAATTCGGGTTCCGATGGATATATACCTTCAATATTGAATTAACATGAATGACATGAATTTTGAATTAATATAATGTATATCATTTCTAAGTTACCACAATGTGTATGGTTTCATCAAATCAAATACTTAACAAATGTAACATATTGGGAAGAAAATTTCCATATCCTACACAAAACCAAATAAGAGCGCCAAATTAATCGCTACTAGTGCACCTAAAGCTATGACAAACTCGCCATCAAGAGTTACTTTAATCAAAATATCCCTTGATGGGGTTTACAATACTAACATATATTGCACACCAACCATTTGCACTAGACTATGATAGTAAACCAGAGCCTTCATTATAACTCATTACTATTTTTATTGTTCCCTTAACACATTATACTATCATTAATCTATCATATTTAACAATGCCAAAAAAAAAACTCATCACATTTTCTATGCCCATGGTCATAACACCATTGAGTTTGTACTACTGGCATTCAAAATATTTTTATATTGATCCTATCATCTCATCAAATAGATAGCCTTTTACCATCAACATAACCTGTGTGACTGTGCCCCTCTAACTATCACTACCAGGTTTGAAAACTGAAATTGTGGCGATATGTTGTGATCTTTGATATTGTAAAAAATTTCATAGAAATTGAGTTGATGCGGCCATAATTGCAATTGCAAAGACCACGAAAACCATGACGATGTGACGATCCAATTGAAAACCATGACTGCTATATAACCTTTTTCTTGAGGGATATCAACATATAATAACAATATTGCAAATTGATTCATTAAGATTTACTATACTAACTTAGTTCTGAATAAATGTTATAATATCTTAGACAACATTGTGCTAGATTCCATAGGAGAGGAAATGCCTTATACAGAGCCCATGTTTGCCTTGATGATCAAGTCCTTTAAATATTTGGTTTGAGACAATAGAAGAGAGCCATTGGGAAGATGATGAACTTCTATATCCAAGAAGTAGTCCAATTTTCCTAGATCCAAAATGCTATAGGTAAATAAGGCTTGTTTACCCTAAAAATGAAATGAAAGAATAACTTAAGGCAAGTTTGAATAGAGTTATTTAAACTTATGTATTGATATGAATCCATGTGAGATTGTATGAAAGAGCTTACAGAAACAACTTATCATATAGTTATTTATATAAGCTCAAAGCATTTTATTTTAATTAATATTTTGATATAGATAGGAGTAACTATTACATAAGCATATTATGATAAACACTAAAATAAGTTGTTTATGGAAACACGAGGTTAAAGTAATACACTCGTTCAACTGTATGTAACACATTGATGAAGGTTATATAATGATGTACCAGGTATAGTATGTAACAACACCACCTCAATAACACTTGTACTCTTGCAATCAGCGGTATACTGAACCAACTCTCCACACTTGAAACATCTCAGAGAAGCAAAAGTTTCTTCCCCACTTGTTATAATCCCGCTCCTGAAGACAAACAAGTGTAGAAATTAAAGGCCAAAAATAGAGAACACCAATTATAGAAAACCTAATAATCAATGTTAGTACCACCCCAGTAATAATCAAACGATACAAAGAAGGATATACCATTTTAATATAATCGAAACACAAGTTATTTATCAATAATTAGTTTTTATTACATTGCACATGTTAGCAAAGACACTTGTGTATTTTAGTAATCTGAAATGCATTGTTGTTGTTTGTTATGTTATATGTTGATGTTGTTGAGTCCTTATAGCATGTGTTGGTGCATGGTGGCCAGTATTAGCGGAGTACATTTACTATGGAAGTGTTGGTCATTGTGTTTGATGTTGTTGTTGCATGCATTCATGATGTTGTACAATGGTCCGTTGTTGATGTATCTCAATTTCAGGAGGTGGGGATTGGGTGCAAGTAGCTGATTTTGGAGGTGATAGAAATAGTGAAGCGTTGTCGGAGGTGATGGTAACGAATTGGTGGGCTCTGATCTTAGGAGGTGAGGATCAGAGCGGTGAACCTGAGTGTTCACGTATTGGTACCATATGCATTGAGTCGAATTGTTGAGTCTCATTGCATTGCATATTGGTTGTGTTGTTATTATGTTGGTTGATTGTTGTGTTGATTGTGCAGATTATGTTGTGGAATGGATGATGTGCATGTAATAATCTAATGCTTTCTTATTATCATGTTTTCTTTTATATAATTGTGATATCACACCCCTTCTGTTTGAATGTTGCCTTTACATGGGTATCGTGAAGATAACTCACAGTAGAGGAGTTGATGTGAGTGGAAGATGGAGTTTTCATTTTTTTTCTTCTAGTTTCGGCGTCTACTCTGATGTGTAATACCGAATAAAATGTTTTTATGTCTTTTATGTTTGTTGGAGATTATTTGGATATCTCTTAAGTTGATGTTGTTTATGTTTACTTTAAAACATGGTTATATTCTGAATAATTATTTGATGATGATGTTTTCGCTGCTTAAATAAAAGTTAAATTTTTAGACATGTTTTATTATTATAATTTTTATTATATTTATAAATAAAAAATAGTCTGTGTTACATATCATAATGTATGAGTATGTTTTGTTGAATTGTAGCATCCTAAATATTTTTGTGCTGAATTTACTCTGATATTTTATTTAAATTACGTGGGGGTGGGGGTTATTTAGGGTGTTACATTGATGTATTAGAGCAGGAAGGTCCGTCCGGCCAGGTTGTCTAATGCTGTTTGTACCTTAGTACGCGACATGTCTGTAAAACAATTGTTTATCTGCAGAGCGAGATTGAAACAAGAGGGGGAGAAACTTTTGCTTCTCTGAGATGTTTTAGGTGTGGAGAGTTGATGCAGTATACCGCTGATTGCAAGAGTAGAAGTATTATTCAGTCAGTGCATAACTATTGTTATTATATTGTTTATTGTTCTGTTAGAAGATATCATAACATCTATAGTGACATTGTGTGTTATTAAGGCATCGGTCTTAATTTCTGATTTTGTGTGTGCCAGAAATTTCATCGACTATTAGGTAATACACAAATCTCACAGCATTGAGATTGACATGAAATAGACATAAGAGCAACATGTGTTAATTTTAGTAGTTGAGTTGAGATGTTTTTTACTGACATATAGCTATGCATAATGACGAAATCTACCCCTAGCAAGATTTCTTAATGTTAACACCGAAATCTCTATTTTACTTTCTTTCATTTACTTTCACGCATCAAAACAACTATAAAACCCTTTTCTACTTAGAATCTTAAAAGTTTTTGAATTGTATTTGAAACTACCATTTCCTGTGAATACGATAATTATAAAACTTACTTTTGTGCTCATCAACATCGTTCCCTCATAAGGGAAATGTTTTCTCAAGATATCTTGAGATTTTGAGGAAGTACACTTAATAGAGGTTGAAAGATCAAAAAACTATTATTGGCTCTCTATCCAGTAAGTGGTTTTTTAATTTCTTAGTCAATTAAAATTGTTTTAACAAACCTTTGGTTGAGTCTTAAGTATTCTTGAAGCAAAGAGGTGACAAAAGTAGTATGCTTAATGCACAATATCAATTCAAGGCTAAAAAGACCAAGGATGCAGTCTAAATATTTCCTAAGAAGAAGTAATTATCTCTTGGAAGGAATTTCAACAAGAAATAAGTAGATTCCAAGAGTGTCTCTTGATTTATAAATCTTCATAGAAAATGAGCTAATGTTAGAGAAATAATTAAGGGCTGGAAGACTTCTAAAGCTTACCTATTATTTGATCTCAAAGATAGATGTTACCATCCATGGGGGGGGGGGATATGATTTCATGTCCGATTTATTTGTGTCTCAATCCAGAATATTTTTTCTTAAGTAACTCTTTCATTTTACTTAAGCTAATATGTGATCTATGTGTTATATTTGTTTTTGACCTTTTTGATTATGCATAAAGGGGTGAAGTATACTCTTAGGGAAAATAGAGTATACTCTTTATTCA